TATATATATATATATTCAGTTCAATGTGACTCTGAGGGAATGAGATTAAATCAGCTCAAAGTTCAAACCATCATCAGCGTACAATTTTTTTAATAAACTGTCAGACTTGTACTAAAAGAGAGAACAAGTGTATTCATTTTCATGTCAAAAGCAAAATTTTTACTATATTTTAGAGAAAATGCACTGATTAGTCGTCTATCGTTAATGTTAAAACTTTAGGATAATTACTAAAATCTGATATATAGTAGATAGACTCTGGTCCATTAATATTTCATTCATAAACAGATAAATTATTGGTTTTTGTGTAAAAGTAAAAACAAAGTAGGAGGGGAAAAAGCTTGGTGATTATGATAAGGCCTTGTCTACAATACTCCAGATATTTTTTTCACTGAAATACCCCACTCCACTGGGGGAGTAAGAATGTCCAAATTAACAACAAACCTAATTATGGAGTATCATCTTGGCTAAAACGTTTCCAAAAACAATTGTAGTTTTGAATATATTGTTTAAACTTGACAATGAAAAGTTTAATAGTAGCAGGATTAGGATAAAGCAAAACAGACAAAAAAAAAAAAAAAAACTTTGAAAAATTGACTTCATTGTTGTTTTAGTTTCTGTTACATCATTGTTTCCCAAAACACGTTAGTTAAGTCTACATGTAGACGCCAACTTAAGAAAACAAAATTACTAAATGTCTCGGCTTTTCTCTCTAAAATGAATGGGATTTCTGTGTCTAAAAATACCCAAAGTAGTGTGGACAGGACCTTGAATTGTGAAAAATTCTCTCTGTCATTTTTTTATTTCCCTTGCCAAATGCGCTGATGATTGTGGTTACTATAAGAAAAACACGCAGTCCTGTTTCACCGTTGAACCAAAAAGAAAGTTCCATAAAAAGAATCACAGAAAGCACTGTTCCATCAACGAGATCAAAACTGTTCTTTTAAAAACTTCTGAAGCTTTACACTAGCACAGATTTATTTCCTGGTAAAAAAAAAAAAACGAATAAATCCAAGGATAAGACATCTTCCTCTTCATCATACATCTGACTCTTTCAGGTTTTCTTGTAAGGTGAAGAGCTGTCGACTGGGGGCAGAATGTAACAAGACCTCGTTTGTAATTTCAACAGGGACAACGATGACGTTTGGCTCAGGGGGCTCTTGATCACAACGGGACCCTTCACAGTGTAACGTTGTCTCTGTATTAAGGTGTTCTTGGGTTGCTAGCGTTTGTAGATCACTTCGCTCCATTTCCTCGGCGAGGTCTGTATTACTCCCATAGAGCACCCCCAACCTTCGAGCAAGCAGACCCTCTTTTTCAGGAGGATCACCACCATCGTTCTTCCTACCCATCCTCTTTAACCGATGCATAAAAGCAGCCTGGCGTACGCAGCGCTTCAGAAGATGGTTGCGGTAAACCCTCTGAATGACAACAGCAGCCTTCTGCTCTTCTTTGTGGCGTACAGTTGTGGTAATTGGTGCAAAGGAGTCTTTTGTGGGGTTGCTTTGGGTGAACTTAATCTCAACGCTCTTGGCCATGGCCGCCATCTCCACTGTGTCTCCCAGCACCATCTGCGTGACGGCCAACAGAACATCCAGGTAGTGGATCCTGTCCCCAATCACCAGGGGCAGGTCCATTTTGATCAGGTGAAGCATATTGGGCTTAGGAACCTTCAATGGTTCCTGCAAGGCATCACAGAAATCTGAGAGCTGGCTGTACTTGATGAACATCGTTCCGTTTAGATCAAACCTCTCCCACGTCTCGTTGAACATCTCAAAGTCTTCCTCACAGAGCGCGTCGCCGCTCTCCTCCTGGGCGACATTGAAGTTCTCCAAGATGATGGCGATGTACATGTTGACCACAACTAAGAAGGAAATGATGATGTAGCTGCAGAAGAACACCATACCTTTCAGTGGGCTGCCACAGTTACCTTTTACATCCGTACCTGGATTTTCACACTCTGGATCACAGTCCGGAGGCTCCCGGTTGAGCATCGGAAGTAAAAGCCCATCCCAGCCTGCTGATGTTGTAATCTGGAATAAGCAGATAATGCTACCGCCAAATGTCTCAAAGTTAAAAATGTCGTCAATTCCAGCCTCCTTTTTGACGTAGGCGAAATTTGACATGGCAAAGATGGCGAAGATGAAGATGAGAAGGAAGAGCAACAGACCAATATTGAACAGGGCAGGAAGGGACATCATCAGAGCAAAGAGAAGCGTCCGAATACCCTTTGCTCCTTTAATAATCCGCAGAATCCTGCCAATCCTGGCCAACCTGATCACCCTGAAGAGAGTCGGTGACACAAAGTACTTCTCAATTAAATCTGAGAGCATTGTACCTGAAAACCAAGAAGAAACAATACATTATTCTATTTCTTCTAAAGATATTTTACAACCATAATTGCAGTACTTGGTGCTCACCAGCGATTGACAAGATGACGACAATGAAATCAAAAATGTTCCAGCCGTTGGTGAAGAAGTACTGTCGCAGTGCAAAGAGCTTCAACACACACTCTCCGGTGAAGACGACAATGAAAGCCACATTTACTTTAAAAAGAAAATCCTCCTTCTCTGGACTTTGGTCATCTGTTTCCACCATCATGGTCACCATGTTGAGGCAGATGAGAACCATAATGAAGATGTCAAAGAACTGCTGGCTGATGAAGTCAAACACCATGCCCTGGATCGGGTTCTGTCAAGTCACAGACAAAAAGAGGAGAGTTAATCATCAGGCCAAATATTTTAAGGTCAGTGGGAATGATTCCTGATTGGTCCTGGTTTGAGCCTGACTAATTCGATTTATGAGGGTTTTTTTTTAGGTTTTAAAATGCAAAATTTGTGACAAAGCCATTAAATTGTAGTCTTTTTCCAAATAAATCTTTTTACAATAAAACTTCCTGTAGCCATAATCCGCCTCATTGCCGACTAGTGAAAGCGTAAACTATAAAAATACTTGTTTCTTATGTTCCCGACCCTGAAGCCTAGTACACTCTACTGTTTTTGTGAGGATTGTGCCGCCTTGTGTTATGTCCTAGCCTCGTGTAATCAGTTCCTCCTCCGCTCTGTTGTCCTACCCCAGGTGTTCGTGTTTATCCCCTCGTTAGTGTGTCCTTATATTCTGCGTTTTGTTATTTGTCCCCTGTCCAAGGATTGTCCATTAAGGCGCCTTGTCTGTTTTCCCCCGTGTCTTCGTATTACGCTCTGAGTTTGTGCCTGTCACGTCTTTTTGTTTATTTAAATAAACAACCTTTCATTTTCTTCTGAGTTACAGAGTCCTGCCTGCACTTGGGTTCAAACACGCTCAGACCATGATCATTTTCAGTCAACGAAGGCAAAACCTGTCACTGTAAAATACTTGTTAGAAAATCTCGAGAATGGAGTGTGTGGTTGTTCAGGGTGACGGACTCACAGACGCCTGGTTTATCTCTTTAACAACCCAAGACGACTCGTGACAAACATCAAGCAGTTTAGGATACTTTTTTCTGTATGAAACTTTGCAGTGTGACAGCCATGAGTGATCCAAACTGTGTAAAGTAGAGGTGCAGAGTAAATGCTGTCCAAATACATAATTAGAGAATTAATGAATAAAGTAACAAAAACAGTTGTAGAAGTGTTGCATGTGTTTAAACTTCAATATTTTGATTTATTGAATTTTGTAATTCAGGTATATAAAGTAGTAGTTTTTATATATCTGCGAGTCAAACTTTATAACCAATTATACACACAACAAGTGGACAGATTAACTTTAAATTTCTTTGTTGTCGTTCGCACCACATGTGGTACATGTGGTGGAACAAAATTATGTACACAGAGTCCCAGTTACAGTGCCTTGCGAACGTATTTGGCCCTCTTGAACTTTTCAACCTTTTGCCACATTTCAGGCTTCAAACATAAAAATATAAAATTTAAATTTTTTGTGAAGAATCAACAAGTGGGACACAATCGTGAAGTGGAATGAAATTTATTGAATGAGTCAAACTTTTTTAACAATTAAAAAACTGAAAAGTGGGGCGTGCAATATTATTCGGCCCCCTTGTGTTAATACTTTGTGGCTCCGCCTTTTGCTGCAGTTCCAGCTGCAAGTCTCTTGGGGTTTGTCTCCATCAGTTTTGCACATGGAGACACTGAAGTTCTGCCCATTCTTCTTTACAAAACAGCTCGAGCTCAGTGAGGTTGGATGGAGAGCGTTTGTGAACAGCAGTCTTCAGCTCTTTCCACAGATTCTCGATTGGATTCAGGTCTGGACTTTGACTTGGCCATTCCAACACCTGGTTTATTTGTGAACCATTCCATTGTAGATTTGGCTTTATGTTTTGGATCATTGTCTTGTTGGAAGATAAATCTCCGTCCCAGTCTCAGGTCTCTTGCAGACTCAAACTGGTTTTCTTCCAGAATGGTCCTGTATTTGGCCCCATCCATCTTCCCATCAATTCTGACCATCTTCCCTGCCCCTGCTGACGAAAAGCAGGCCCAAACCATGATGCTGCCACCACCATGTTTAACAGCGGGGATGGTGTGTTCAGGGTGATGAGCTGTGTTGCTTTTACGCCAAACATATCGTTTTCATTGTGGCCAAACAGTTTGATTTTGGTTTCATGTGACCAGAGCACCTTCTTCCACATGTTTGGTGTCTCCCAGGTGCTTGTGACAAACTTTAAACAACACTTTTTATGGATATCTTTGAGAAATGGCTTTCTTCTTGCCACTCTTCCATAAAGGCCAGATTTGTGCAGTGTACGAATGATTGTTGTCCTATGGACAGACTCTCCCACCTCAGCTGTAGATCTCTGCAGTTCATCCAGAGTGATCATGGGCCTCTTGGCTGCATCTCTGATCAGTCTTCTCCTTGTTCCAGATGGAAGTTTAGAGGGACGGCCGGGTCTTGGTAGATTTGCAGTGGTCTCATACTCCCTCCATTTCAATATGATTGCTTGCACTGTGCTCCTTGGGATGTTTAAAGCTTGGGAAACCTTTTTGTATCCAAATCCGGCTTTAATCTTCTCCACAACAGTATCTCGGACCTGCCTGGTGTGTTCCTTGGTCTTCATGATGCTCTCTGCACTTTGAACAGAACCCTGAGACTATCACAGAGCAGGTGCATTTATACGGAGACTTGATTACACACAGGTGGATTCTATTTATCATCATCAGTCATTTGGGACAACATTGGATCATTCATAGATCCTGACTGAACTTCTGGAGTGAGTTTGCTGCTCTGAAAGTAAAGGGGCCCAATAATATTGCACGCCCCACTTTTCAGTTTTTTATTTGTTAAAAAAGTTTGACACATCCAATAAATTTAATTCCACTTCAAGATTGTGTCCCACTTGTTGTTGATTCTTCACAAAAAAATAAAATGTTTATATCTTTATGTTTGAAGCCTGAAATGTGTCAAAAGGTTGAAAAGTTCAAGGGGCCGAATACTTTCACAAGGCTCTGTATACCCACAAAAAGTATATTAGCTTTTGGTGATGACTGTAATCCAATAGATATTGTTTGTCCAAAATACACAGTATATTGGTTTAATGTCCCTATTCAGATAAGGCAACATGCCCTGCCAGTGTGCATTTAATAGCAAATGTTTTGTAATATGATATTCTCCGTGTTTAGGATCATACAAATTCACACTTGTTCTCAGAAATCCCCCCACAAAATCAGACAGTTTTCCACAACTATCATCCACAGCTTTCTCCCTTTCCTCCTCCATTATTTTTAGAGCCTGTTGGATATTTGGCATGAATGTGATTCTCCTGTGAGAAGAAATTACAGTCCAGTATCTAATCAATCTGATTTTGTAGTATGACATGAACAAGCACTTCCTGAATTTTAAAATTACATGTTATCAACCATCCTCGGGCCTTGTTTTATACAAAATCCATCTCATAAATTGTTTAGGATTACTATTAGTGTAAAACAATCATCAGGAACAGGTTGACCTACTGTTGGGCGTGGAATCGGCTTCTGCGGCTTCTTGGAACCCAGTTTCTTCATGGCCTCGTAGTATTTCTTTTGCTCTTCAGTCATAAATATGTCTTTGTCCCCAAAGTGCAGAAACAAAACAAAACAAGAATTATTTGCTTTTACATCAATTTTTTTGTGACTTTTTAAAATTCATAGTTGTACTTATCTTTTTCTTTTGTTGGTTGAAATTGTCAATAATGACACCGATGAAAAGGTTTAAGGTGAAGAAAGCACCGAAGATGATGAAGATGACAAAATAGAGATACATGTAAAGGTTGATCTCATAAGACGGCTGTTCCTCAACCTAAATGGAACAAAACCCCAAAATTTATTACAGCAATTAAATTAACTAACAGCCTAACTGTGAAATGAATCAACATCATAATATTAAATGTTAAATTATTTTTTAAATTGTTATTATTAACCTTTATGTAACCAGGCAAATCCCATCCATCCATCCATTATCTTTACCCCTTTATTCCATTTTGGGTCACGGGGGTCGCTGGTGCCCATGTCCAGCAATCACTGTGCGAGGGGCGGGATACACCCTGGACGGGTCGCAAGTCCATCACAGGGACACAGAGAGACAAACGAGACAAACAACCATTCACTCTCTCACACACACCTAGGGACAATTTAGAGTTACCAATCAGCCTAACATGCATGTTTTTGGTCTGTGGGAGGAAACCGGAGCACCCGGAGAAAACCCACACATGCACGGAGAGAACATGCAAACTCCACCCAGAAAGGCCCCTGGACCGGGGTTTGAACCAAGGACCTGCTCGCTGAGAGGCAGCAGCTCTACCAGTTGCGCCACCGTGCTGCCCCCAGGCAAATCCCATTGAGATCAAAGATTTATTTTGCAAGGGAGGCCTGGGCCTTAGTTGCATGAGACTAAGATTATGTATTGAACCCTGTATCCCTTAAGTAGACTTTTGTATTTGATGTAGAACTGCTTAACAATTTCCTGCGGGATCAATAAAGTTCTATCTTATCTTATCGTAAACTTAAGTACCTCTCTTGAGTCCACAGCAGCGTACATGATGTCCATCCAACCTTTAAAGGTTGCCTGCAAATGTCAAAATTATTTCAATTTTTCATCTAAAAGCATCTAAACACACAAATTGTTTCAAAAGCATACACTACCAGAGAAACCACTTCTTACCACTTGAAGCAGAGACAGGTAGCCCTGTCCAACGTTGTCATAGTTGACTTTGACGTTGATCCAGCGAGCGTCCTGTGTGGCCTCCTTGAGGGCCGTGCATTCGCTGTGATTGTTAACCTCAGACATGGGGAAAAGCTCCCCTGTGGTGGTGTTGACACAACGGTAAAACTTCCCAGCAAACAGATTAACTCCCATGATGCTGAAGATGAGCCAGAAAATCAAACACACCAGCAGCACGTTGAAGATGGAGGGAATCGCTCCAACAAGCGCGTTCACCACAACCTGTCCAAAAGAAAGGGCCGTGATTGAATTTATAGGAATATTTAGAGGCAATATCCTAATTATTTTTGTTAGTCCCCCTTCCCACTGCTTGATGACACTGCTACGATCTTCACGACCGACTAGAACTAGACCTACATTCAGTGTGAAGGCACTCTTACAATTTCTACTCTCTTAATACTAGCCATTTAAAAAAATAATTAACCACGGTGCACCCTTTATTGGCACTTCAATAGATTAAATTAATTGCTGCAAATGCATAGTGAGACCTTTGCAATAACTAACTGTAGTGCAGGCATGTTGAGGTTGTAAGCCAGCACGGCCCATTCTGCTTCAAATTCTCAATGACCAAGCCACACTGGACCGTACATCACTGATAGGCTACACCATGATCCACCCAGCACCCCATTACATCGCCGTCCCAATAATAAACCATCACAACATTGCTTTGAATGTTTTGTGCATGCTGAAAGTCTAGTTACAATTGATCGCATTTTTGAAAACCCATTGAATAACCCATTGCGTTCCAAATGCACTTTCATCAAGACCCTGCAGAGACCATTCATATTTGGAGTAATGTTTTCTATCATATTAGGGTCGTCAGCCAGTGTGAAGGGGGTTTCAGTAGGACTGGCCAACAAATGTGTTAATAAATGCTCCACTTAGTCATTACAGCTGGACTCAGAACACTTACCTCAGATCTATTACAGCAGGCAGCCATGGTGGAAGCATGCATTTAACAAACACAAGTCAATAATTGCATTCAACAACACAGATCTGCTTCTTTTAAATCATTGTAAGTCATGCAAAGTGCTAGAATGCTACTCTGTAGTGCTAATTTACAAACAAAATGTACCTACCCTCATGCCTTCAAATCTTGATAGTGCTCGAAGAGGCCTAAGCGCTCTGAGGGTTCTGAGGGATTTGATTGGTCCAAGGTCTGAGTATCCGAGCCAGTTGGCCACTAAACTAACCAGGGAAACCTGTGACGGAACCAAAACAATTCCTATTTAAGTGTTAGGATAGACTTTAACTGACCTATAAGTTCTGTTTGTTACAAACTGACCAGCTCTGAAACTCCACATTTAAACTTACATCCACAATGAAAAAGTCTAACCAGCACCAAGCGTTGGTGAAGTACGTCTTGAAGCCGTAAGCGACCCATTTAAGGAACATCTCAATGACAAAGATGTAAGTGAAAACCTTGTCAGCATACTCCAGAAGAATTTTGATGGTCCGCCGTCTTTCTATGTGTATGTCTTCAAAAGCCTGTGAGGAGGTGACATTTAAAGTCCAAATGTCCAAACAGGATCATGGTGTTTGGCAGATAGTTTTGAATTTGTCCTTACCAAAGCTCCACTGCTGAGGAGGATCATGAAGATTATGAAGGTTTCAAACCAGTCATGCTCCACTATAATGAAGCAAGTCTTACGAAGATTCCACCATAGCTTTCCTTTGCCACTAGAAGTGTCCACAGTCAAACATGGCCATTTCATCACGCACTCTGAGCAAAGAAGAAATGCACAAGTTTACTTTATGTTTTGAAATGATAAATAATGTGTTTTCATTTGTGGCTTCGTTGTTCCTACTGTCAGTGAAGCAGGACTCTGGCTCCACAGGCTCAGGTTCTTCTTCCACTATTTCTTCAGGTTCAGGCTCTGGAGATTGGTGGACTACTGTACTGCACACCGAAGAGTTATCATCGAAAGCACCCATCAGCTGCTCAAGAATCAACATTAAAGCTTGGATAAGCAATTATTTATTCTGAACCTCTCCCTATTTAATAAAAATATTGTTGCTCTATTCTTTGCATTAAAATCACGAAACATAAAACCCTTTTGTTCATGTAGGTCTAAAGAATTACCCACTTTGATATGTCCCAGGACACTGGTTTCATCCCCAGAGCTTTTCTGAAATAGAGGGAAAAATAGAAAAATAATAAATTTTGTTATGTTAGACAGCGAGAGAAAGGTGCAAACAAGATTATACTTTTTCCAAAACGTTTGTTCATTTTCCTAAAAAAACAAACAAAAAACCTGTCTTTTTAAAGGGGGATTTTTCATTCCTCACCAAAAATTGATTTAAAGAAACAGGACACGCCTGCACAAAAGGGTTTCTGTTTACGTTGCATAAAACAAGACCTCTTCTTGGATTTGGGTGAGCAGAAACAATAAATAATTTTAAAACATTTCCTTCTCCTCTAGAAAGCTGGATTAACAGACAGATAACTAGATTCACAGATAAGTTATACAGATTGCTAGCTACATTAACAGACATGTACAGATAACTACTTAGACAAACAGGAAGACTGCTAGCTAGGTAGGTACACAAATAGGTAGGTAGGTAAGTAGGTAGGTAGACAAATAGGTAGGTAGGTACACAAATAGGTAGGTAGGTACACAAATAGGTAGGTAGGTACACAAATAGGTAGGTAGGTAAGTAGGTAGGT